CCTGTATACTTTCTTTTTATTCTTTCTATCCTTTCTATTCCTGTATACTTTCTTTTTATTCTTTTTATTCCTGTATATTCCTATATATTCCCGTATAATTTTTATTCTTTCTATTCCTATATATCCCTATATATTCCCGTATACTTTTTATTCTTTCTATCCCTATATATTCCTGTATAATTTCTTTCTATTCCCGTGTATTCCCGTGTATTCCTGTATGGTTTTATTCTTTCTCTTCACAATTCTTCACTCTTATCTCTTTATATTTCCCTGATTGCTTCTTCTGCGTATTTTCCTGGATATATAGACGGTTTCCCCATAATTCTCCATGCATGTGCATACTTTTCTATTTCCCATACGCTCCCGTGCACATTCCTGCATATCCCTGCACTCTTTTCTCGTGCTTTATTTCGCCTCAGCAGGTCAGCATAAATATTTTCCAACGCATAAAATTTTTTATGCGCGGAGACACACAGCGAGCCAAAAGAGAAAAAGTAGACGGCCTTTTATCGAACATAGACTCGTACCAGAGCATATTTAAGATCCTGTGCGATAACAAAACGGCATTCGTGCAAAAGCTGAAGAGAGATTTTCGGAGCCTAAAATCAGAGCTTTTCTTTGGGAAGTACCGCATGGTGGAGAAAGTCCTCAGCCGAAAGTTCGACTCCGAGCAAATGCGAAGCATCGCAGGAACTATTTCCTACAAGAAGTCAGACAAAGTCTTCCTTTTCCTTCTCTCAGATCTCCCTGTTGAGCGCGTTAAGGAGATTCTTGCGAAGGTCTCCCACCTGGACTACGAGAGAAAGGGAGAGACTCTCTCCCAGGACATGGTCATTCCTGCAGGGGAGCTACTGACGAAGGAGGGCGGGAAAGTCTCGAATACGCTTTTCAAGGAGATCACGAAGTTGGGCCTCGAAGGATTCGCAATAAACAGCAAAACCAACGGAATTGAGGCAGAGAAAGAGATAGTCGTGGCCCGTAAGGGGGAGGCTGTTACGGAGACAGTCGAGCGAATGGCAAAGATCCTGGGCGTAAAGACTCGGGAGCATGCAGCTGTGCTTGTCGGACACGCAGAGATCAGGAAATAAACACACCCGAAGTTATACAGCAGGAAGCCCTCGGAATACACCGTCACAGAGTAATCAGTAGACAGTTGCACCCTCCAGTTTATCATAATA